GACTTATCAGTTAGTTTGCTATACTTGTGCCCTAGAATTTTATTTAAATTAAGTTACAATTTCATCATGGGCTCAGACCAAGTCAAATCCGATAAACTGTTCCCGTTTAAGACTTTCCTTATTATACTTTCTCGCTGTTTTAATATGGCCAAAGACCCATTGAACCTGCTAGCACATGGAAATTATACCAGCCAGATTCTGTGTTTTATCCATGTGTAGCTTTTCCAGCTTTAATTAGTATTTTTCCTTTGCTACAACTGCAAGTTTGCTCAGTCAAAAAATTCTAAAAAGTCAGTCTAACTTTTGCACCTAGATTCTGATCAGATACAGGTATATTCACTAACTCTGGTAGAACTGCCAGACAATGCTAAACTTTCCAGATATTGGGCAACTCTTCATCAAAAAAATCTCACTTTAACTAATATGATACCAATTATCATCCATTACAAAATAACTGTAAACATGATTTTATCCCAGGGGTGCGCAAACTACGGCCCGCGGGATTGCCAACCCCCTGCCGCACTCCTCCTGTGCCCCAACCCCCTGCCGCACCCCTCACCCCTCCTGCGCCCCAACCCCCTGCCCTGAGCCCCCTCCCGCACCCCAACCCCCTGCCACAGCCCTACATTCATGGCCCTGCATGCATCTTCCCCACCCAGATGTGGCCCTCAGGCCAAAAAGTTTGCCCACCCGTTTTATCCACTGCTTGACATAGGACACGATCAGTAAGCTGAATGAAGATACAGAGAAGCCAAAACATCTAATACTGGATGGAACAAGTGGGACTGCAACCACGGATCTGCAGCAGAATCTGGACCAGTATTACTATGTGACCCTAAATAAGGTTTACTGAACCTAAAACAACTGCAGCAATCCTGGTTGAATGTCGCAGACGAGAATCCTGGAATCTTTTATCAGAAAGCAAACAGCAACAGAGGAGTAGAGAATAGCAATCACTGGACAATCCATTTAAAAAAAATAAAATAAAAAGACTGACTGTGTATCTTTATAAATACCAAAGTAAGTTTATTTACCCATGAACAGATTTTAAATCCACTGGCATTCAAATCAACAACCCTCTTCTGATTCCCTCTAGTGCGTAAGCTGATTTTCGGTCAAAAGTTTACATGTTACTATTCTAGCCCAAGCACTGAACTCATGTGCATTAAACAAAAAGGTCTTGCAGACTTAGAGCTAATTCAGAGCCATAAAAATATATAACGGCAGTAAAATGGCTTAACTATGTACAAAAACATTGATCAAGTTGTTCTGGACTGGCAGACCATAATGCCTGTGTGCAGCCCCAATGAAATTAATGCTCTCTGCTACTACATGCTCCAAGATCTATTTTGGGGAAGTTCTATGGCTTGTGCTGTCCAGACTAGATGACCACAATGGTCCTTCTGGCCTCAGAATCTATGAATGTAATGAACGATCAGGGTATCTTGCATGTATATGAGCGATGGGCTGGGGTTTTGTGTGCGTTGCTGTTGTTTTTTTAAACTTTAAGTAACTCTGGATGTCTTGTCTCGAGAGGCCCACTGCAGGAGTCTAGGTGACCACGCACACACAATTACTACTGCTCCAAGAGGCAATATTAAAAAAAAGAAAGATATGTACAAAAGACCACACCTTGACTTAGAAATTAATGAATGAGGCAGAGAAGCTGCTGAGTGGTTCACGTTCAAGTCTAGAAAAGCTCAATTTTCAATCTAGTCCTCAATGGCCCTTTAATACTTCTCTAGCACTTTACATACACACTTGGTACAACTCGCTGACTGCTGAGGAATGAATCAGGACTGATTTATATCACTGATTTAAATCACCAATTTTAATCACAATTTAAATCAGCAAGCAGGAAACTTTATTTAAACCATCAATTTTTATTTTGTTTTGCATTTCTACTTTATTTTCCTAAGGAAAAGTTGGTTCCCTTTGATTGGTACACCCACTAAAACATGTTGATTTGCAGCTAAATATATAGCCTTTATACTATATTTGGTACTTTTTGCCTAACCAGAAGATATAGTTTATCTATACACATTTATTTAAGCAGTTATATAACGAACATTTATTCAGATTCTTAATTTTTGCATTTATGATGTTAGAAAATGGTAAATGACATTTATTTAACTTTTTATATCAACACAGATTAACTTTTTACTTGTGATTTGTGTAACAATGCATTTGGATGGAACTTGGAATTCAATTAAAATGTGCAAGTAGTATTTTAAAACTGTTTTATTAGTTAAATAAAACTACCTTAAATACACTGCATACATAAGAAAAAAGTTGATAAAACATTATTTGTATTTAAAACAGATTTATTTAAACTAAGAAAGTATTCTGTCGTTAGGGTATTTAACTGATGGTGACCAGAAACAATGTCCTTCAAGAGTTTAGAACTAGTAGATCTCTTCCTCACACCTCTTTTTTTTTTTACCCCAGAGATCAGAACACTAAAACAAGCTTTCCTGCTTTTTCAGCTCCCAATCGGCTTCTCAACTTTGAATAAACTAGTCATTAAACTGAACTAGTTGAACAAACTAAAAATGAAGATAATATTCTCTCTGCAGCTGCAAAAGAGGCTACTACTGTCAAGAAGTGGCTTAGCACTACAACAAACTCTTGGTTCCAGACGCTTAGCCAGTGATTTCCCCATCAGTTCAGCAGTCTAACTTTCTTTAAAACTTCAGCAGCAAATATGTACTGCTTATTTTTTTTATTTAAAAATTTTAAGAGATTATAGTAAGTTTGTCAATTTCAAATTTAATTGTAAATAGTTTAAAAATAAAGATGTATTTAAATACAAAAATCCAATAAAAATCATTCATCTATCCTAATCAGCACTGGAATGGCAGAGATACTACAGGGCAGGATTTAGCTCTCTGAGTACAACTGTGCAACCTTTTCTCTGGTTCTAGAATAATAATGCTATCAATTCATGGTCACTGCTGTTCACCCACAAAGCCTCATCTACACAACTCATAATTAAACAGAAAAAGACTAAAGGAAAATTAGAAATTATAGTCAAAATAACTCTCCGATTTATAACATTCAATAGCCTTGCTCTTAAGCTTAATATGGGCCTTTGTAGGCTTGTGTAAAGCAAATTCATGTCATTGCTGTGAAGCAGTAAGGAAGCTGGTTCAGATGCAACAAAATGCATCAAGAGAGACTAAGTAGTGAGTCATCAGTATAAAAATATTGTCATATTGTCTGAAGGCAGTAGATGAAGCAGCCCTTTCAATTAAGAATAAAATTTTAACCATCACCAGAATTCCTACCATTTACTAATTTGTAATCAAAACCTTGGGCACTGAATGCATCCAGCCCGCAAACTGAACTAGAGTAAGGCTAGTCTGGTTCAAATTGCCTATGTTTTTTAATTTTACATTAGTGATAGAGTGTTATATCTTAGGCAAAGAACCATGCTGAAAGTGGCCTAATAATTTAATGCAGCATAGTACAGTACCAACATAAGCATGATAGCTTAAGTTACCTTTATAACAGTTTTTCAGTTGTTAGCGTTCTGATGTAGAAGATTTTTACATAAGAGGTTTGGTTTGGAAGACTGTTTAATACATAGACCACTCTGTTATATTAATTTATTTATTTTTAATTTCCTATAGCCAGACACCCAGAAAAAATAATTTGTCAGTGTCACATTCATTATTCACATTGTATGTACTTACTAACTACATAACTTGTTAAATACACCCAGGAACAAGTGAGGGTGACAAACCTGGATATAAGGAAATAATTCTGTTGAGTATCAAATGTATCTCCGTTGTATTGTATAAATTGAATAGTGACTCAAGCAGACAGAACAAGCATTTTGCAATGTTAGCCAAAGGTACGTATACTGGTCTATAAAGACCAAGTTCTTTGGATGGACCAAAAAAAAACAAAAACAAAAAAATCTTAAAAAATTTTTAAGTAAAGATTCTTTTTCCATCCCCCCCCACACCCACTAAACAAACAAACTGCCTTCAGTTTGCTCAACTCCAACACAGTTAATTGACCAGAGGGTATGTTTTTTTGTTTGGTGGTTGTTGGGGTTTTTTTGTTTTGTTTTTAAGAGGCAGTTATTGGCAGGCCTCACCCAGTCCTGAGATAAAGTAGTTACATCAAAAGAAACAATCCAAATTCACCAACAGGAGACCATGCATTTGAGGAAACCTGTCCTCCTAACCAAATTTTATTTTCTGACTTTAAGTGAGTAGAAGCAATCATGCTCTTGTTCCTCTCTGTGCATGTGCTACCATCCCCTCCTCAAATTAGACTACAGAGGTAAACAGCATATCATACTTAACTAAAATGGTAAACAGAAGTCAGAAGGAAATGGGAGAACCACATACTTTAGCTAATAAATTACTACATGTTTAGAACCAAGACAGATAGGTACCCAGGGGGAAAATGATCTCTTAACCCCCTTGATTAAGCCACTGCAAGCAACAAGTTTCCTGAGATGTCAAGTATGGAATGGTCGTTATACCAAGATAGAGCTGAGTCCGAGGATGATTTTAGCCCCATTCTTCCACACCCCAAATTCCAACCTGAAGCTGAAATCCAAGGATGCGCAGGACACAAAGATCAGGTGATCCACAACAAGCTAGTTTGATAGTACAGACATTAGAGACAAAAGAGATTAGCTGTAGCAGAATATTTTCCCGGGGAGGGGGGTCCCTGCCTCTGATGGGATTCAGACCTCTATGCTGTTATCGTGAGTGAGAGAAAGGTTATCACCGCCCGCCTCGTTGATAATTCTGCAGAGAGATTGTTTAGCCTTTGGCAATCCCACCCATCCCGGAGAACATCCCCCAACCTGCCACTGCTACCCGCCCTGCATCCAGTGTCACCACCCCCAAAGAAGGCCCGCTGCTTTCACCCCCCGAAACCGCCGCGCTCGCACCGCTCCCGGCTAGGGGGCGGGACCCCGGCAACCGATCCCTCAGGCCCGGCCCGGCCGCCTCCCGCCCGCCCGGCCCGGCCCGCACCTGGATGACCTCGTTGACCTCCCGGATACACTCCACCATGTGCTGCAGGATCTGCTCGGCCGTCAGCACCTCGTAGCGATAATCCTCCTCCTGCTCGTGGCCGCCACCGCCCCCGCCGGGGCCCGGCCCGCCGCCCAGCCCGCTGCCGCCGCCGGGGCCCAGCCCGCCCGTCTCCCCGCACAGCAGCCCGTCGCGCTCGCCTCCTACGCCCAGCCCGGGCTCCACCAGCTCCACCTCGCCCAGGTCCAGGTTATCGTCGTCGGGCTCGTCGTCCTCGTCGTCGTCGTCCTCGTCCTCCTCGGCGCCACTGTCCTCGCTGCACTCCTCGTCCTCGTCGAACTCGTAATTGTAGCCCTCGTCCGAGTCCATGGCGAGGCGGCGGCCCGGGGCTGCCCGCGCCGACCCTGAGCCCTCCCCCCGCGCGAGCTCCTGGCTGCTCCTGCGCCGCGGCCTGCCTCTGCCCGCGGGACAACAACACACAGCGCCGCCGCCGCCGCTGAGCCAACAAAGGGACGCGGCGGACCCGCTCCGTCACCGCGCGCCGCGGCACGCACGCACGCACGCACGCTTGGCGGGGCTCTGCCGTGCGCGCCGTTACATCGCGGCCGCCATCTTGAGTGAGGCCGGAGGAGGGTCTGGCCTTCCTCAGCGTTGCGACGGCCATCTTAGGCGTGGCAAAACGCTGGGTTTCGTTTCTGGTGCGGCTGTCATTTTGGGTCTTGTTGTGGCCATCTTGAGTGTGGCGAAAGGTCCCCTCGCTGGTTTCCTCACCGTTACGGACGCCATGTTGGATGTGGCGAAACCCTGCTAGGCCTCTCATTGTATCCGCCATGTTGAGTGTGGCAGCCCTTTTCTTTCTCCTCCCCCGTTGCTGCACTGTCAGTCTGTCGGTGAAGGTTCTAGGTAGGCAGTGTCCACTGTGGTAGCTAAGCAACTAAGTCACCATTGGACCCCTCTGTGTGGGTGTGGGGGCCCAGTTCAGGCTGTGTGATCCCATATCTGGCACACACTGCCCAGCCCCACCAGCAGGGCACACGGCCCCTTCACCGGGCAGCCCCATCCCATAGCATGTTGGGAGGGGTCAGCCTATGGATGGTTAGTGATAGAGATGAGGAGGCAGTTCTTTAGGGGGATGAGTAGAGGATAGACATAGGGAGGGGCGGGTGGGATTTGGGGTGGGGAGTTGGCGTAGGGATGGGCGGGTGGGATTTGAGTTGCAAGGTTGGCGTAGGGGTGGGTGGGTGAATGGGATTTGGGGTAGGGGGTTGGTGTACAGGTAAGTGGATGGGATTTGGGGTGGGAGGTTGGCATAGGGATGGGTGGATGGGATTTGGGGTGGGAGGTTGGTGTACAGGTAAGTGGATGAGATTTGGGGTGGGAGGTTGGCATGTGGATGGGATTTGGGGTGTGAGGTTGGCATAGGGATGAGTGGATGGGATTTGGGGTAGAAGGTTAGCGTAGGGATGTGTGGATGGGATTTGGGGTGACAGGCTGGCATAGGGATGGGGGGATGGGATTTGTAGTAGGGGGTTGGCGTAGGAATGAGTGGATGGGATTTGGGGTTGGCATAGGGATGGGTGGATGGGATTTACAGTAGGAGGTTGGTGTAGGGATGAGTGGATGGGATTTGGGGTTGGCGTAGGGATGGGTGGATGGGATTTGGGGTAGGAGGTTGGCGTAGGGATGGGTGGATGGGATTCGCGATAGGGGGCTGGCATAGGGATGAGTTGATGGGATTTGGGGTTGGCATAGGGACAGGTGGATGGGATTTGGGGTAGAGGGTTGGTTTAGGGATGAGTAGGGATGGGTGGGGATTAGCACTGGCATCGTTTGGAGTAGGGATGGTGTAATTTGGGGTAGGAATGGGTGGATTGTATTTGCAATATTGGCTCAGTTTATAGCGAAATTCATGCTTTTCAGAAATACCAGCAGCCCATAGGTATGAATCGCAATCCCGTTTCTAACTGGAGAAGGTACTGAAAAAATGTGATGTGTGGTCTTTGTGCTGATTTTTCAGTGCAGCAGGGAAATGGCGTCAATTTAAGTAAATCAGTGACTACAGTCTATCAGACTGCTTTGCTGCCCATTGACTGCTGGGGTTCCAAATATCTTTAAAAACCAAACATATGTTAAAATAAAGGCCTTTAATGTATATTTGCATAGTAATCTCATGTTGGTAGAGCAAATGCCTATAATACTGGGTCAGTTTTGATTAAATAGAAATGACAGGTAATATATGAGTTGAAAGTAAAAGTATTAATGAAATAAAATCAGGGCTACCATAAATCCTTTGAAAATATTTCTCAAGGCAAAACTTGCTGCGGGGGCATGTTACATACATTTGACAACATTCCATCTCTGTGTAATATAGGAGGAGGAGATGGAGGGGTGCCATAAATATGATATGGAATTAGAGAACCACCATGTTTTTCTGCTTCACACTCTGGCTCCTGCTTGCCTAAAGGCCCAATCCTACAAACACTTACTCACATGCTTTACTCTGTGTGTGAGCAGCCCCTTTGATTTCAGCAGCACTACTCCTGTATATAAAGTTAAGCATGTGCATGTTTGTAGGATTGGGATTAAGTTAGGAAATTCCATTCACTCCTATCAGCATCATTTATTTGCAAAAATAGGTGCCTAGAAACCCTAGTCATGGACCAGGACCCCATCACGCTAGGTGCTGTGCAAACATAGAAAAGTTAGTCCCTGTCTCAAGGGGCTTACAGTCTAAGTGTATTCCTCAATTTCACAATGAGTGTATTGCTCATTTTGGACCCCACTTTACTGCCATCCCACAAACGAACCCGCTGTTGCTGTATCTTTACTATTGAAATGACAGGGACTATCGCAATCTTTACTATTGCAAAAGCTCTGGCACTGGCCACGGCAGGAGACAGAATACTGGGCTAGATGCAGGGCCGGCTCCAGGCACCAGCCCACCAAGCATGTGCTTGGGGTGGCGCCTGGAGGGGGGCGGCGCGGCGGGGCGCTCCGGCCCGTGAGCGGGGCCGCGACTGGGCTCGCCGCCCTCCCCGCGGCGCTCCGGCCGGTCGGGGAGAGCGGGGCCCCGGCTGGGCTTGCCGCCCTCCCCCCGGCGCTCTGGCCACCGGGGGTTTGCCGCCCTCCCCCCGGCGCTCCGGTCGGTCGGGGATTGCGGGCCCGCAGCCTGGCTCGGCACCCTCCCCTGCCACGCTGGGGGGGGGGCTTTTTTGCCTAGGGCAGCAAAAAAGCCAGAGCCGGCCTTGGCTAGATGGCCCATTGGTCTGACCCATATTTATGTCTGGTATCATGGCAGTTTGAGATTAAGGGTCTAGAAAACTTCATGAGGGTTAGAGAAATAAATCCTGCGTTGTTCCAAGGTGGCATCTCCTCTGCTGCATGCTTGGCCCTGCCTCTGGGCCTCTGTCAGGGTTAAAGCCCACTGTGTTGCAGCGCCCACAAATTAAATCACTACAGATGCAGCCCTGTTGCTAAACAGTGCACGTTTCACCCATGGAAATCCCTCTAACTGGCTGCTTTCCCCACAGCCCTGCCTCCTGGAGAAAAGCAGCCCATTGGGGCTGCTGCAGGAGGCAGACTGAGCTCTCCTCCCCTCCCCGCCCCGCTCTGGAGTGGACACTGTTCTCACAGGAGGGGTGGGGAAGAGCAGAAAGAGCATAGCAGCTCAGGGCAGCTCTACCCTTTGCCCTCCCCTCTGCTCCTCACTGCTCTCCTCTGCCACCTTGCCTGGGAATGAGGAGAGGGGACCCACTGCAGCCCCCCTGCCAGGGAGAGGGCGACGGTGAGCCCCAGGAGCTGCAGGAAGAGCTGGGGGACAGGCAGGTGATTTCATATCTCTAGATAATGACAGACCCACCCACTTTTTTCAGGGTACTGTAAGCACCGGTCTCTGTCTGTCACAGCTGGTGGGCTAGTGTCAGACCACTGGACAGTGGCAGTCTGAATGTTAAGGTTGTGGATCTCTAGTCTGGGAGTGTGTACTATACTTATTCCTACCACCTTCTTGGGCCTCGCAAAGGACTCAGCTTGGGTTAGTAACAGTCTGCACCCTGGCCCAGAGGACAGAATGCTACCAACTCAGCCAGCCAGCCAGCTGTCCTGTGCTGTTACTCACCGCAGATCCAGTCGGACTGTGCAGTTCAGTCAAGCATCCAGCCTCTCCTCCTCCGGCTTCATGGGGCTGATTCTCCATAGCCTTGGGGCAGTGTTTTCCCCAGGAATTGAAATTTGGGTGTGGGGGGGTAAATATACTAGGGCGGGTGAGGGCCAAAGAGGGGTGAGACTGTGAGTATGACAGAGGACGGTATGGCACCATAGTAAAAACTGAAAAATGTTTCACAACCATTTTATTAGATTTAACTCATGTTTTAAAATCATCACACAAATTAAAGCTGGCTACTCAAGCTTTCAATGAAGCACTATATCTACATCCTTCTTGCTTTCTTGTTGTAATTTTGCACAACTCTTAATGAACTACTCAAATGCAGTGCATTCATCTTTAGTGGCTTCTTGTGTGTCTGGTACTTCCAGTCCTTCATGATATGCTCATGATCAGGCAGAAGGTGACTTCTTTCAGAACACAAAATTGTATTCAATGAGGATAAAGAATGCTCAACTGTTGTGACTGGAACTAGCAAGAGATGAATTACAACTTCTTTTATCCCAGGAAACATAGCACAAAGATTGGGCCAAACCACTAGTGATAATAAAGAAGAAGTTGACGTCAAATCTTCATTCGTTTGTCATATGACATTCCACTCTGTTCAAATTCTCTATTCTGTCCTGATCACATGGCAGCGCCATTGCTAGTAATGCCTCAACTCCACTCAACTCTCAGTGTGTTATAAGACAGGCATCTGTAAAAGGTATGTAGAGGTTGAGTAGAATCCAGAAGTTGTTGTTATACATTTGTAAGAATCAGGTCTGTGTACTTTTTCAGCTGGCTTAACAAACACTTTTTGTCCTCTTCATTTAAAGATTCAATATAAGTGCCTTCATTAGTCAGCTTCTGCACTGAAGTCTTTGCTTCTTCCAATACATTTTCAATGGATATCTCTCTGATTGATCCAAGTGTAGCTTCTGTTGCTGGACAAAGATCTACTACTTTGTACCAGATACCTGGATATCATTGTTTAATGACCCAAGTGGTTTCAACCGTAGACTTACATGAGAGAGAATGGTGATAGTCTTCTCTGAACTTAGTAGCAAAAGTAGTCCTCTAGCCTCACTGCTTAGATCCGTCCCATCTTGGTAGATACTTTCTAAAGCCAGTAATAATGGTTTAGTAATTTTAAGACAACAGCCAAGGATCGCTCATGAGAAAGCCAGTAGGTTTTCCCAGATTGGACTAATTTGAACTTCAGTCCCAGTGTATCTTCTATTTTTTCCAAGACGTTCAGTTCTTTTGGACTCTTGCTGAAAAAAGAATATAATTTAAGACATTACATTTATGGCTTTTTTAATGTCTTTTGAAGAGTCTGCAGCTCGTACTAGCATGGGCCGCGAGTTATATACCCACGTGGTGCTCGAGC